TACATATTCATAAATGACATAATCGATAAAAACGAGACGGGATCGAGCCTTTGTACCGTTCTCGGGAATCAAACGAAAAACGGACGAACACGAACGGGGCTCGACGGATTCTCGCGTCTCGCCGGAAAGAGAAGGGCCGTCGCACGGGAGGAGAAAGTTCGCTGCTGCTGATTCACGGGCTCGTCGGGAAGTCGCCGGACGTCGCTGCTCGGAGAATAATCGAGCTCGCCGGAAATCCACGAACAGCGATCGGGGAGCGGTCGGAGGGGGATGAACTCGCCGGTGACGTTGCTGTGGCGGACCGAGGAGATTTCGACGTCGAAGGCTCGCTGCTGGGGGTCGTCGTTTGCAGAGGAGGTCGCCTGGCGTTGCTGCTGGTCACGGCGGAGGGCCTGCGCGCGGTGGGGCACTCGCCGGAGATGAGGCGGGATGATGACGACGAAGGTGATGATGGAAAGGAGATGATCGATGAAGATGGAGGTTGATGACAACGGATGGTGAGGGACGTTGGTGATGATGATCGTTCGAGAAAAAGAAAATCTCACGAGAAAAAAAAAGAAAACGATGGAGGCTGTGGGATTGTTTTCCAAACGTGATGTATATATATATACATATATATACACATATGTATTAGGTTTGGGAAAATAACAAAGTTCCTTGTTGTCCAAGACAAGGACTACACGTCTACACGTTCAAAATAAAAGGAAAAGGAAAATCTGTCGGGCCGGGCCCGAGAAATTTGGGCCAATAGGATTTTTGGGCCGTTTGGAATAACAAAACAGCTCACGGGCTCAGATAAAAAATTTTAAACAGATATATTCGGGCCCAATTCGATTACAACAAAATTATCGGGCTCGATTTCGAAAGCAAACGCGCGATAGAATAAACCGAAAATAATTATATATATTTTTCATATTATCACATACACATTTATTCATATTAATAAATCACAAAATCAATTAAACAATTAGACAAATTACAATTAGCATTTAATCACATTTGACAAATAGATAAATATATTGGCATTCAATAAAATAAAATATAAATATTACTACCAATTAATAATAACAATAATAATAGCAATAAAAATAATAAAAATAAATCCCAAATAATTCACAAATAAACGGGGCATTACAGAAAGGCTGAGTTAAATGAACCCAAAAAGACTTAGAAAAATCTAAGAAATACTTAGAAGTTGCTAAGCCCTGAGGGAATTCGCTTGGACAAGGCTGTGGTGCGGTGGTGCCTCTCCCCGGGCTCCTAGCGCGCGTGGCAAGTCCTATGGGCTTGGTCTCGGTTTCTCTCCTATCTTATCACTATTTGCGAGTGTTAAACTGACTAAGAGCTCCCAAATGCTGAGGAAAAGAGTCTTAAATAGGCTGAGGGGCGGAGGTCTCAAGGTTGGGTCAAAAGAGACCAAAATAAGTGGGAAAAGCACTCCACCATACATGGGGTCTTGGGGCTGAGGTCTTGCACGTTTTTGCATGGTCAAATGTGGATTATTCAGAGCACAATGAGGGACAAGGTGAATCTGGTCAGGTCTGGCACGAGGGTGGGGTCAAGGGACTTCCCAAGACATTAAAATATTCATTAGCCCACATGCACTCATATTAAAATAATGACCACTACTTGTGACTTTGCAAATCATTTTGTTAGGGCCATCTTAACCCAAATGAATCCTTAATCCCTTCCTAATACACGCCTGAAATGGGTCATGAGAGAAGTGGGCCGGAATTATAGGAGTTGGGCTCAAAATTTGGTATTGCCAAGCTGGCACGAGCCTGCTGGGCGCGGCACTGGGCCTGGGCGCGAGGACGTGCTGGGCTGGCGCGGGAAGGAGTGAGCTGCGCGTGTGGGAGCTTCCTTGGGCCGAGCATTTGGTTCAAATGAGCTTCTCCATACTTAGAAAAATTTAGGATAATGATGTTAAGGCTTAGCCAATGCCTTGGGCTCGGTGGGTACCCCTTTGAGCGCGGCTAAGGGCATGCGGGCAAGGCTCGACACGGGTGGCTCGATAACTATTAGGGATTGCTTTATAAAATGTTCTAGGATTGAACTTTGATATTCTAACACACTTAGAAAATATTCTAAGTATAAAAATACCAATACTTGGCTAGGCTCGAGACTTAACTTGAAAAATAATCGGAACCAAACTAGGGTTCGAAGCCGATAATTTCTCGAATTGACTTGCTATAATTTAACAACCCAAATTAATGAATTTAATCTTAACTTAAACTTGAGATAGAATTATTCTAAAGAATAATTTATTATATTTGAGCATTTAGCATAAATAATATAACTCGAGAATTCTTCTGAAAATTACGGATTTCACCTTTAGTCGAGCAGTGAAACCGTTCTTAATATTATTTCTGATTTAGGGCATTACAGTAATCAATCCCCTTCCCACGGCTAAGCGTAGATGTGCACATGAGTGAATCATTGTCGTATTGATTGGAGATGTGACATATTGTTATTGTTTATGTTCATGCTGCGACCATACCATCCTAACATATTTTATGTTGTTCATATGCATAGTGGTGAGCATTAAATTTTCCTATTATGCTCACTCCCACCTGCTCTTCACGGATGCAGGTTAAGCAGTTGCCGGTGACAAGACAAGGCGAGTGGGTGGTCTTCTTATTTATTATTATTATTTGCTTCCGCAGTTATGAAAGTTATGCTTGAATTTGGACATGTTGGTTGATTTCATATTTGATTTGAAAATATTGGATTGGTTTTGAAACCTTTCTGTTTGATATTCATAAGTATGTGTTTTAAATGGATATCGTGTTTATTTTATTGATCATGGAGTTGTGACATGGGTTAATGAAAAACTTTGAAAAATCGAGTTTATGAATCCCCGCTAGTTCAAACACGACTTGAACTAGATTTTAAATTGAATGAATAACGCCGAAATGTTTACGAATCAAAAATAAATTTCAAAAATTTTACTGTGATTTTTAGAAAAACTATGAATTTTTTTTAATATCAAAATGGTGCGTTACATTATAGGGAAATAAATTATATGCCAGCCGCTAATGAATATATCAGCAAGCATTTTCCACCATTCCTTCTCCCAAAGTAAAAGAGACAAGTAGATAACAGCAAAGCATCTTCCACAATTCCTTCTACCAATCACTCTCACACACTCAACTCCTCACACGCAACGCTCCATTTCATTTATATACCACAAAATTAAAGCCAAAACACCTTCAATTCAAAACGTCACCCGCCCCAAACTTTACTTCCCCACTGTCTTGTCACCTCCCAAAAATTTCTCTCTTTCTCCGCAAATAAAGAAATAATAAATAAATATTAAAAAAATAAAAAAATGGACGCCGTCCAGATCTCCCTCGCCGTCTTTCTGGTCCTCCTCTCCGTCGCCGTCCTCTCGGCCCTGGCTCGCGGACGCCGCCGCGGGCCGCCTCTCCCTCCCGGCCCCCTGGCCCTCCCCATCATCGGCAATCTCCACCTCCTGGGCCCCCGCCTGCACCAGACCTTCCACGAGCTCGGCAAGCGGCACGGCCCCCTGTTCCGGCTCCGGCTGGGCTCCATCTTCTGCGTGGTGGCCACCACCCCGGAGCTTGCCCGCGAGTTCCTGAAGACCCACGAGCTGGTGTTCTCCAACCGCAAGCACTCGACCGCCATAGACGTTGTCTCTTATAAGTCCTCCTTTGCATTCTCCCCCTATGGGCCCTACTGGAAATACATCAAGAAGCTCTGCACCTACGAGCTCCTGGGCGCCCGCAATCTGAGCCACTTCCAGCCCATCCGGACTATGGAGGTCCGCGACTTTCTCCAAACCCTCATGCATAGGGCCGAATTGGGGGAAATTGTCAATGTCACCGAGGAGCTCTTCAAATTGGCCAGCAACGTCATCTCCCACATGATGCTAAGCATTCGGTGCTCCGGGACAGAGGGGGACGCGGAGGCCGGCCGGACTGTGATTCGACAGGTGATGCAGATTTTCGGGGAGTTTGACGTGGCAGATTTGATCTGGTTCTTCAAGAATTTGGATCTGCAGGGGATTAGGAAGAGGTCGGAGGATATTCAGAGGAGGTACGATGCCCTGCTGGAGAAGATTATCAGGGACAGGGAAGAGGAGCGGCGGAGCCATGGCAAAGGAGGACAGGCGAGGGATTTTCTGGATATGTTCCTTGATGTGATGGAAGGCGGCAAGGCGGAGGTGAACTTTACCAGAGAACATCTCAAGGCTTTGATTCTGGTAACCACTGTTAATTATTATTATTATTATTATTATTATTAGTAGTAGTTGGTTAATTCACATTTTTTTATGCGTTTAGTTTTTGAAACATGAGAATGCGAGCCTAACCTTGCCTTGCACTAAGCGCCACAGCATGTTTGAGGATAAATATATTATGTGAAATAACCAAATGTATGAATTTTTTTTTTTTAATAATTGTATAAATTACTATATTACTTTTTCTCTTTATATAGACAAAATGGTACTTTCCTATGGGCTGGAAAAAAATTTCATCTCTAAATAAAAATTGACTTTCCAAAATATTGATTTACGTCACCTCAGAAGCTATATTAATTTTTGAAATCATCACTCATTACATGAAAGTATGTACTCTAAAGTAATTGTGCATATGATGGAGCACAATACACAATTGAGATTGTAAATATTCCTATAAAAAAGTGAACACTTATTCAAACATTCAAAAATATTTTGATCAGAATCAGACATTTCCTTTTCAATGTTATTTATTAGGAAGATACTCGAACTACATAATCTATTTTTTGTAAATCATTGAGCATTTTGGTTGTTACAATGATTTTAGAGTTGTTTATTATAAACCATTTACATTCGTTCGGATTTACATATATTATTTAATTCAATTATTGTCCAAATTTTTGCATCATACATAATGCTTCAAAAATTCAAGATAAAGATGATTTTAAATTCTTCAACAATAACAAAACAAAACAATTTTGACTTTATTATTTATCAAAACATTTGAGATTAGGAGAATTTGAATCCTATTATAATGATACTCTTAGTAATCTGTAAATTTTATTATTACGAATCATTATTAAAGTTTATGGTCTATATTATGTAATATATGGTCATTATTTATGAGAATTACTTTCTTGCAAAGAACAGATACTTAATTGCTAACGACAATAAAAAAAGTAGTAATTTTAAAAGACTTCTGTTTCTTGATATTGTTATTCATACTTTTCTAAGAAAATTCAGACTTTTCCTTTCCCCCACTGTATGCCTATTATTTTATTTGCTTTTATTTTAGTCACAATTTTTGGATTTTTTTCTCAATGTTTGATAATATACTAAGTAACTAACTCATTTTCATATTCATAAAAAATATATTTTAAAACCATTATGGTGTTCGCTTTTAAGCGGTATTTGAACAATAGTTTAACATACATCTCATTTATTTTATTTATTTTATAATTTACATAGTTAGTGTTGGCAATAGCATTTTCTTATTATAAATATTTTAAATCTATGTAAGAAAACATACCACAAGTTTATATAATGTTATTTATACTTAATAAAAATGAGTTTGCATGGATCTATGATTTATTTTATAAGATACTTTTAGGTCTATTTATTATTTTAAATTGGTATTAATTGATATATATTTTATTATTTTATATTCATATAAATAATTATATTATTTTTATTTTATTATAATACTTTGGTCAAATCAAACATCATTGAAAAGAAATGATGAAATATATTACATATAAAAAGGGTAACAAATATATGAAAAGAAATGATGAAATATATTTGTAAAGCCCCACTTTGATTTTAAAGAAAATTCATAACTTTACCAAAAATCACAGTAAAATTTTCGAAATTCATTTTTCGAATCATAACATTTTTGGCGTTGCTCATTCATTTCAAAACTTAGTTCAAGTCATGTCTGAACTACGGGGATTCATTACCCAAATTCTCAAAGGTTTTCATTAACCATAATCTCATTAGCATAAACAATAAACATCATGATATTCCTAATCACATACTCATGAATATCAAACTGAAAGGTCTTTCAAAATAAACGAATAAAATACGTTTCTAAAATAATCAAGTCAACATGTTTACCAAACCCAACCTATTCAACATGTTCAAATAATACAACATAAATTCATAAATGCGGAAGCATATAACAATCATAAGTAAATAAACAAGACCACCCACTCGCCTTGTCTCGTCATCCGCCAATTGCTTAATCTGCATCCATGAAGAGCAGGTGAGAGTGAGCATAATAGGAAAATTTAATGCTCACCACTATGCATATGCACATTTATAACAATAAAAGGTATGGTCGCAGCATTAACATAAATAATAATAACATCATGTCTCATCTCTAGTCACATCAATGACTCTTAGCCACATCAATGGCTCACTCCTATGTACACATCTTTCATTAGTCGCGGAAAGGAGATTCATTACCTTAACGGCGAGAGTGCGTGCCACGGAAGGACATGGCCTTTCATTAGGTCTTAAAGAGACTTGCCTCGCAAGGGCAAGCGTATTACATCGACTGAGACAACCGTACCGATGGCCATCAAGCTCACATCGATAGGCTACATGCTCACATGCTCACATGCTCACTTTTTAGAATAACTAACCTACCTGGATTCCGTACTGATAACAGCAACAACAGAAGAGACGTAGGTCGAGGCTTGACTTCTCAAACACCATTCTCGAGAATACGTTCGAAAAACGGAACGAGCGAGGATGACGGTTAACACGCGGTGGTTAGCGGCAACGAACGAGCTCGACGGCCTCGCTTCGTCTCGCAAAGAAGGAGCAGCCGCGGCGGCACCTCGTGGAGGACCTGCTGATCGCGGCTAGGGCTCGCCGGGAGGAGCGTCGCGACGATGCTGTGAGACGCGAGAGAAGGACTGGTCGCGGCGTGACAGAGTTGCAGGCGCGGCGTGAGGAAGTTGGTCGCGGCGCGGAGGATTTGTTGTTCGCTGTGGCTCATCCCGAAGGAGAAGGGTGATGGCGCGACGATGCTCAGAGGGAGGAGGACTCGCCGGTGACTCTTCAGACGGGGAAGAGCAGTGATTTGGCGAGAGGAGAAAGTAGATGATGACAGGAAGGGTTTCAACGAGAGAGATGAGCGTGTCGGGCTTTTTGCGTGAGAGAGAAGAGGCATCGCGACTTTTATTTTGCCGTGAGATTCGAGCAGATTTGAGAGGAAGAAAGTTGCGGGGCGTGAATTAATCTGCTGAGGGAGAGAGATCGATATACACGTATATATATACTAGGTTTAGCATCTTATTCCTCAAGACTCATAATACACACACGTATGGGGCGGATCGGGTCGACGGTTTGGCTGGGCGCGGTTTCCATGAATTTGGGCCAGCTCTCGGGTCGGTTCGCGCAAGTGTGAGTTTCAAAATAAACTCGGCTCTTGGTTTTTTGATATTTTTACGGGCTCGACTTAGCCCGAAAATATCTCGGCTCGATCGTACGACAAATTAAATAATTTTCAAATAATTATTATATATATATATATATAATACACACATAAATCAATCAATATTAATAAGCAATTAAACATTTAATAATAATAATAATAATATAATCCCAAATAATTCGTAAATAACGATTTACGAGTCGGCCGGTTTCGACTACCGGTTTATCGGCTCAAATTCATAAAATCCGAATATATATAACGCTCGAAAAAATAAAATATGACGACCCAAAAGTTTTTAAATTTACGAAACCGACATAATATAAAGTTATTAGCACACATTAATAAATATATTATCAGGAAATCATTTCACTCTGACAAGATAATAGTAATATTAATAATGCCAAAATATCCGTAAAATCCAATATCCAAACGGATTATATTCGGTTCACGCGATTAAACTGAAATCGCTGAACAATGAACGTTTTTCAATAAAACGATCGAGTACTCCAAACTCATATTTAAGTCGACCTCGCGACCAATAAAGTGAATATAAATTTATAAATAATATGCGATAAATAGAATATTCCGAGAAATTCTATAAATCGAACGGGCGTTACAATCTATCCTCCTTAAAATATTTCCATCCTCGGAAATGCAAAAGAACACGCATCTTAAAGAAAAACGACAGATTCGAACGGGAATTTCCAATCACGAGGTCTGGCCATCACCCTCCGGAACTCGATTCCGCTCCCATGAGTCCTATCGCTCCATACCAAAAAGGCATGTACTCACATACAGGAACCAATCTGACCCGCCCTATGATCATATGTTTACCTTCTTGCCTAGGAGGGTGACCAGTCCTACCCGAGCTCAGGCGTACATACTTTTGCAAGGGACTCAGTCCGACTTGGCCTATACTCATGAGTATCAACGACTTGCTCTGTACCTAACAACACACAAGACCTCAACAGGTCGTTCGGTGTATTGTCAATGTACTCCGACTACCTCACCATCAGGGTGGACATGTGACGCCAAGTATCAGTCTCGTGTCCGAATAACACTGATAATTTGCTCACGATTTCATCATAGACCGTGCATCTCCATCCGAGACCACGACACGGTACCACATACATACAGCACGACACCATCATGCTCATAATACATACTACCCAAGATACTCGTACTCTCGTGATATCGACTCCACGAGTCGAACGCAACCCTTATGCACAAACATAAGGCTTGACCAGAAGCAACACCACATTCCCAATTTGCCGACTCGAGAAACTCTTAGTAAGGCATAGGGACTCATTGACTACCCTCCTTAATCAAAATCATCGATGAAAGACTTATACACATTTTAGTGGGACTTGGAGTTTCTCGGTTCAAGACTCGCAAGAAAAGGTTTTAATAGGCTAACCCAATGGTCCAGCACGAAACGGTTCGAACAGTTCAGGAAAAACATTAATGGTTGGCCGTATACACTGGCCTGGGGAGTTCCTACGTACGGTGATGGCGGCTGCAGTTCGCATGCGAGTCAACGGTCGGCCGTGCACAAGCCTCCCGTCTCTCAGCATGGTCGTGCGTACTCGGCCACCACTTCGCGTGGCTACACCCAACTGGGGCCGGCATTCGGCTCAAGGTTCCAAGTCCACTACATCAAAACACCAAACTCAATGGATCTAATAATTGCAATAGAAAAGAATTCTCATAGAGAATACTAAGGTAGTTCCCAATTCAGCAGTTCCTGCCGAGAGATACAGTAGTTAGCTCGCTCCGACTCTCCCAACTGACAGTATCGGCCGTCACATCAACTCTACTCAGGTGGCTAAACATGTTAGCAGTCCTAAAAGAGCACAACTCGTTTCACACTCCCCAATCTTTATAGTTTGGGATTCAAGCGTGAAGTTCATTCCATCCAAAATGTATCCGATCACATCTTCAGATACTCTTGTTACGTCCCAGGGGTTCTCCAGAATAGGCCGAGACATTATTTGCAATAATATAACGACTAGACAACTCACAACAGTTGTCAGCGTGTGGCTCAACCAGAAAGACATCATCACAACGGAAGGAATGATATATGATAAGAGGAATCAATTACTTGTCTTTACCGATAAACAAGGTTGCAACACTTGAGTAAAAAAAATAAGAACAAATGTTCGCAGGGGATCACAAAAATCCCAAGATAACAAACGATTTCTCCCAAAACTCCGAAAAGGGTAAAAGGAACGAGATTTTCTAAATATAAAGATTGACAGGAATTACACACAAAAACGGTTAAGCACCGCACGATGTGCTTTTTCCAGACTCGACTATCCTCCTTAAAAGATTTTTGCGTAATCTTTTAAGGTGGAAACATACTTCTTGATATTATCGTCGACTTCGTTTCATGGAAATGAATCTTCTTGACTCTCTTCATATCAGTGTATTACTTCGCGACATGGATTGGATGTCCGCAGGATTTCTGTCTTGCCGAGTCATTCCGAGCGATGCGTCTGAGTCCTTTGCATCGATCTGCTAGGCGTTGGCCTCCAAGCTTGTTCGTCTGAAGTTATATCTACATCGATCACAGTTGAATATGTACCGTTCGTCTTCCTCGGGGTTGAGCTTTCTTTCGAGAGTTGCGTTGGTATCCGCGTTCTAAAATATTCGCATCGACTAAGAGGTATCACGAAACAAGATTCCCAAATTTACTAGAATAAAAGGATCAACGGAAGATAAAATTTCAATTTTTATCGCAAAGAAGGGAAAATCTCGCGAAATTCCAAAGTACAAAATTTTATGACCAAGAGGAGTCTCGAAAACATAACCCATCTTGGTTACCATGCGAAAGGAAATAGTCAAGGGTAAGCGAAAAACATTTGGGCAGCAAAGGTGCAAACGGTAAGTCAAAGGGCTACAACAGGTCAAATTTACACATTAAACCTGTTGTCAATCTCAGAAAAAGAGATTGCACGGCGTTCGAACATTGGGCGCATCTCCTTGTACATAAAAGATATCTAGATGAATCTTGCGCCATTAGAAACCTAGGAGATAAAATTACAACTCGCAGGAAGATGTTGAAATTCTCAGGTTACCAGAAACGAGCCAAAAACAGCAACAAATCACAGACTCAAACTTATGTGATTAAAACGAAAAACTGATTGTGCAATGATCGAATTCTCGATACAATTCTCATAATAAAAAAAAATGCTAAACACTCGATTCCTGTTCCTCATGAAAGGCACAGGTTGATATAAAATTTACATGAGGACTTCGAAAAGAGACAACGGGTTTTTGGGCTCAAAACAACAATGAACCCAGATCATCTACAAGATCGATCAACGAAAAACTGGACGCACAGTTGCCAAACTTGGCCAAAATTCATAAAAAAAAATGATAACATCATGCTTCTCGTTCGGGATGTAACATAGGAGATTAAACTTAAATTCATCAGAATGTTCAAAAACATTTAACCGAATTCCGAAAGTAAAAAAAAAAACAGCGATGAATAACCACTGCTACAAGGGTCACGAATAAGGTCTCACTCGCGAATCTCAATCAACACGAGGTAAGAGTGTCGATTAACAAAACAAGGCTCCAACTAACATGATTTAATCACAGCGACTCGAGGCTCGGTTTGAAATCGAGAGTCCGGATATCCACAAAAAGTTCAAGAAAATAACCAACGCATAGAACGAGCATATGAATCAATATATACCCGACTAACCAATGGATTTTCAATCCATCTAATGAAAAACGAGCGTTTTAAAACAGGGAAAGTTTACCATTATATCGATCTCCACGGATCCATAAGAAAAAAGGAGTCGGTTCATCCACACTAACCTGACACCTAGACCCCACCCTCGGTCATCATTGACTGGGTCCTAACACGAGTCTAATGGTCTTATTGACAATGGCTACAGACTCCCGAATAATCCACACATGGGATCTCTTTGGTTGTCTGCTCCATTTACTTAAGCCTTCTCCTTTCGAGATGGCATTGTGAATGGTCCTCCCTTGATGACACTAAATTTGCATCGAGAGGACTGCTACATCATAACATAACTCGATAACACCATATCGAATTCCTAATAAACAAAAATCTCAATTCAGATCTTAACTCTATACTGCTAGAGTTCAAATCTGTACATACGGAGGTCTACAACTCTTCTAGAGTTCACCATTAAATACTAGAGTTCAATAATGTATAAGTAGGAGGATAAATTCCTAAGCCCCAATTAACAACATATCATATCACATCACAAGTAGTTTCATTGCAACTTGTACAAATCCACAATTCGCGTTATAAGTATTTTCATTTATACTTATATAAACACATACCTTAAGCAGCGCGGCATGGCGAAGACGAGTGGTCATAACACAAGGTCTAAATCACACAAGCAAGTTTTCCATATATGCCAGTCTACAGAAACAAAGACTAGCTCTGATACCAGACTGTAACGCCCCACTTTGATTTTAAAGAAAATCCATAACTTTACCAAAAATCACAGTAAAATTTTCAAAATTAATTTTTCGAATCATAACATTTTTGGCGTTACTCATTCATTTCAAAACTTAGTTCAAGTCATGTCTGAACTACAGGTATTCATTACCCGATTTCTCAAAGGTTTTCATTAACCATAATCTCATTAACATAAACAATAAATATCATGATATTCCTAATCACATACTCATGAATATCAAACTGAAAGTTCTTTCAACATAAACCAATCAAATACGTTTCTAAAATAATCAAGTAAACATGTTTACCAAACCCAACCTATTCAACATGTTCAAATAATCCAACATAAATTCATAAATGCGGAAGCATATAATAATAATAAGTAAATAAACAAGATCACCCACTCACCTTGTCTCGTCATCCGCCAACTGCTTAATCGGCAACCATGAAAAGCAGGTGGGAGTGAGCATAATAGGAAAATTTAATGTTCACCACTATGCATATGCACATTTATAACAATAAAAGATATGGTCGCAGCATGAACATAAACAATAATAACATCATGTCTCATCTCTAGTCACATCAAGGACTCTTAGACACATCAATGGCTCACTCGTGTTTACACATCTTTCATTAGTCGCGGAAAGGGGATTCATTACCCTAACGCGAGAGTGCGTGCCACGCAAGGACACGGCCTTTCATTAAGTCTTAAAGAGACTTGCCTAGCAAGGACAACCGTATTACATCGACGGGGACAACCGTACCGATGGCCATCACGCTCACATCGATAGGCTACATGCTCACATGCATACATAGATCATACCAAACTATCAAACACATTTTAACACACATACACATAGACTTTTTAGAATAACTAACCCACCTGGATTCCGTACTGATAACAACAAAAACATAAGAGCCGTAGGTCGAGGCTTGACTCCTCAAACACCGTTCTCGAGAACACGTTCGAAAAACGGGACGAGCGAGGATAAAAATTAACACGCGGTGGTTAGCGGCAACGAACGAGCTCGACGGCTTCGCTTCGTGCCGCGAAGGAGGAGCAGCGGTGGTGGCAGCTCGTGGAGGACCTACTGATCGCGGCTAGGGCTCGTCGGGAGGAGCGTCGCGACGATGCTGTGCGACGCGGGAGGAAGATTAGTCGTGGCGTGAAGGGATCCGATGACGCGGCGTGAAGGGCTTGGCCGCGGCTTGACAGAGTTGCAGGCGCGGCGTGAGGAAGTTGGCCGCGGCGCGGAGGAGTTGCTGTTCGCGGTGGTCGTCCCGGAGCAGATGGGTGATGGCACGATGATGCTCAGTGGGAGGACGACTCGTCGGTGACTCTTTAGACGGGGAAGAGCAGCGATTTGGCGAGAGGAGAAATGAGATGATGACGGGAAGGGTTTCAACGAGAGAGATGAGCGTGTCGGGCTTTTTGCATGAGAGAGAAGAGGGATCGCGGCTTTTCTTTTGTCGTGAGATTCGAGCAGATTTGAGAGGAAGAAAGCTGCGAGGCGTGAATTAATCTGCTGAGGGAGAGAGATCGATATACACGTATATATATATACTAGGTTTAGCATCTTATTCCTCAAGACTCATAATACACACACGTATGGGGCGAATCGGGTCGACGGTTCGGCTGGGCGCGGTTTCCAAGAATTTGGGCCAGCTCTCGGGCCGGTTCGCGCAAGTGTGAGTTTCAAAATAAATTCGGCTCTCGGTTTTTGATATTTTTACGGGCTCGACTTAGCCCGAAAATATCTCGGCTCGATCGTACGACAAATTAAATAAATTTGGAATAATAATTATATATATAATACACACATAAATCAATAAATATCAATAAGCAATTAATCATTTAATAATAATAATAATAATAATAATATAATGCCAAATAATTCGTAAATAACGGTTTACGAGTCGACCGGTTTCGGCTACCGGTTTATCGGGCTCAATTTCATAAAATCCGAATATATATATCGCTCGGAAAAATAAAATATGACGACCCGAAAGTTTTTAAATTTACGAGACCGACATAATATAAAGTTATTAGCACACATTAATAAATATATTATCAAGAAATCATTTCACTCTGGCAAGATAATAATAATATTAATAATGCCAAAATATCCATAAAATCCAATATCCAAACGGATTATATTCGGTTCACGTGATTAAACTGAAATCGCCGAACAACGAACGTTTTTTAATAAAATGATCGAGTACTCCAACCTCATATTTAAGTCGCCCTCACGACCAATAAAGTGAATATAAAATTATAAATAATATTCGATAAATAGAATATTTCGAGAAATTCTATAAATCGAACGAGGCGTTACAATATTACATATAAAAAGGGTAACAAATAAAAAATATTAAGTATTTCAAATTGAAAAGTTAAGGAAGCAGAAAAAAATTAAATTATTAACTAAAAGAATTAACACTAACAAACCAATTTTAATGCACAAAAATAAGTATATTCATTATAAATGTGCTCCTTAAGTATGTCTTATATTTATCATTTGTCAGTTTCAATTGATATAGGACATTAATTAGTTTTATAATTTTTTTACATTTGGATGGAATGCGATCTATAGGCTTTCTCACTGTCTATTCTTACTTTTTTATCACGTTGCACATCATTCTTATCCTTTGTTTACTTATTATAATACTAATAAAATAATTAAAGATTTTAAAATGCAGATGTATCTTATTTAGTTTGAAAAAAATACTAATTATCATAAATTAAATGATAATTACATAGAATTTGTTATATTTTGTATCATTATCAATAATTTTTAAAATAATTATCTGCAAACAATATTATATATAATGCAAAATTTTTTTGTTTGATTTGGAGCCATACTTTTACTACAAGAAAATGATAAATTTTCAATGAAAACATGTTACAACGAAATTTCAACAACAATGTTAATGAATATTTCAATGTTATACTTCCGTTTGATTTTTTCAGTGAAAATTATAACAAAAATATTTTGTTGAAATCATGGGCGGATCCATGTTTATCAAATAGTCCCGACACATAACTCTTCCCAAAACATATAACATAAGATATCTAACAAAAATTGTAGAAACATTTTTCATAATTTTAATAATGTACCCCTATTTAGAAAATAAAACTAAAAGAAAGAAAGATACATAATGAATTAATCACAACTCAACTACTTACAGGTGAATTCAACTCATAACTTTATTACAGATATAATATAAATGTGGTATTACAACCAAAGAAAATATGATAATTATCAAAATTTTACAATTTTACGCTCTAATTCTCTCTTTTATTTTTAATCTTGATTATATTTTCTATTCTCTGTTTTGCCACATATTTTTTTTTTAACTTTTATGTTTTACTTAACTGTATGTAGAATTCTAATAATATATTCAATATTTATACATTCATCAATTATATTGTCGAGTCAACTATACTACAACATATTTTTATTTTCACAAAAAAATTTAAAAAAATTATATTATTTTTTATTTTCTTATTTTGAATTGAGAAAAAATATGCTTTCTTTAAATATTATTTAATTTATTATAATTTTATTGATGTGTAAAAAAAATATTACATATGAGAAAGATGTAAAATTGCAAAAATTATAATTTGTGAATTGTAGTGGCAGCATGTTATATTGATGGTATACTTTTTCTATTAATTAAATAGTGTCCCAAATATTAAATCATTTTGGATCGGCCTCTGAGACCTGTATTCTGAGAGACAATTTTTCCAACGGTTTAAATATGTTCGGAAAAAAAATCAACGAAATTCACACAACAATAAATAATGGTACTTGGAATCAAACTCACAAAAATTCCAATGTAATTTAATTTGAAATATAATACTTATAAAAAGGTAAAAATAAAAAATACTAAGTATTTAAATATTGAAATTATAACGGCAAAAAATAATTAAATCTTTAAGTAAAAAAATTAAGACTAATATACCGATTTTAATGTGCATCTTAAGTATGTTTCTTATTTATCATTCGTCATCACCAATTTATATAGGACATTAATTAATTTTATCATTTTTTTGACTTTTGGATTGAATGTGAGCTATAAACATTCTCATTTGTGCAGTCTTATATTTTATTACATAGAACATTATTCATGCTCCTTGTTTAGTTATTATATTACTATTAAAATAATTAAAACCTTTTCAACCTAGATGTATCTTTTTTGTTTTGAATAAAATGCTAATTATCATAAATTAACTGATAATTACATTGATTGTCTTATATTTTGTATCGTTATCAACAATTTTCATGATAATTAACTACACAAAATATTTTTTATAATTCAATTTTTTTATGGATCTGGAGTCATACATTTAGTACAAGAGAATATGAAATTCCAACAAAATATATTACAACAAAATTTCAACGATAATTCTAACGAATATTTTAATATTATTACTCCATTTCAATTTTGCAATGAAAATTCTAACAAAAACATATCGTTGGAATCATAGGCAAATTCATGTCCTGAGGCCTTCAACCCAATCCATGTAGCATAAAGTATCAGTTTGCGCAACATAACAAAAATTGTGGGACTATTTTTTATAATTATAATCATGCCCCCTATTTAGAAAATATTATTAAAAGAAATAAATATACATAATTAATTAATTTACAACTCTACCAATTCTAATTTAATTCAGCTCATAACTTTGTTATAGCTATAACATAAACGCGGTATCACAACTAAATTCATAATTTTACCTTTTGATTTTATTTTTCTAATCTTCATGATAACTTTTATTCTCTCTTTTACGATATATTTTTTTTCTAACATCAAATATACTTTTATGTCTTTTTAAATGTATGTGGAATTCTAATTATATATTCATAATTTATAATTTTATCAATTATATTATCGAGTCAACTATACTACAACATGTATTTTTTGTTAATAAATTTTTTTAAAAAAATATATGCTATTTTCGATGATTTTATTATGTTGAGTTGAGAAAATATATTTTGTTTTTAAATATATTAACTTATTAAGACTATATTGATGTGTTAAAAAAATATTACAAATGAGGAATATGACAAATTATGGACAATATAAGTTATAAATTGTAATTACAATATGTTATTTTGATGGCGTACTTTTTTTCTACTAACTAAATAGTTCCCCCAAATATGAAGTTATTTTGGATCCGCAACTGCAAGTAGCCTTTCAATGAAAGTTCCACTGTATTTTTATAATCAATGACATTTTCTCCAACGCTTGAAATATGGTCGGAAAAAAAAATCCAATAAAAAATGTACGCATAACACATTTGCGTACATTTTCCACACAACAATAAATAATGGTTGGAATCATTACATCCACAAAAATTCTTGTTTAATTTAATTTGGTAATGAAAATTTTCCAATGGAAGAAATATTAGGTAGATTTTTCAATGCAATATGGATTTTATTTTTTATTCTATTTAAACATTATAACTTTTATGTAATAGTTTTTATTATTAATTAATCGTGTTTACAATTTTTCTACTAAAAATATACTAAACACATAAGCTTTTGTCCATATTTTTTTTCCAAAAATCACTCGTTATTTTATCTCGAGATTACCTATTAATTTCTGCATTGTGTTATATTTCTTACATATTGAATATTAAATAGTGAAAATAATTATTATTTTACGTATGGAATATAAATATTTATATATTATATTGAAGAACTAATAGCAAATTTTAATTTTAAAAGTTCCAACCTACATAGATAAAAGCAAAAATAACTATTGCCTATGACTTGAAACTTACACCTAGAATTGATAAGCACAAAAAATTAACAAATGTTTAACAAATTAACTTGTTTACATCGATAAGTGCAATTTTTAAAGTTATATATATATATATATATATATACTTAATATTTTTATTTTTTACCCTTTTGATACGTAATATATCGCATCATTTATTTTCAATGATGTTTAAGTTGACCAATAATTATAAATATTTAAATTCTTTATAAGTATTTATTATACTGTTTTTGTTGCATCATTTTTTATTTAAAGAACTTTTATATATATAACTATTAAATATGATTAAAATAAGGACGTTTTTCAAAATAACAATCAAATTTTGTTGTTTGGGTTAGTGTTGGGTTGCCTTTTTAGAGATATGAAAGAAAGTAGTTTTGCCATTAAAAATATATCATAGTAAGGGTGTTTTTAGAAGTCATTTTTTTTTACAAAAAGACTAATAATGGTGGGAGAATATTGTGATTGATTTTTTGAAGATGTAGAATTCGTGTAGTAATATTTAATTAGAAATATAAGATATGGTGGGGATTAGTGTATTACTAATTTGAAATTAAAAATGTCAAGTAAAAGGTTTTTAGGTAAATATTAGTTATTAATTAATAATATAAGATAAGATGGATATTGGTGTATTACTAATTTGCCATTAAAAATATATAAAAGTAAAGGTGTTTTAGGTAGTTCATATTTTTACAACAACACTCGTCCTTTTAGGGTAATTATATATATATATATATATATATATTATACACAAATTTGATTAATAGATAGATAATACATACACATATTTGATTAATAGATAGATATATATAGATAATACATATAGATTAGATTAATAGATAGATATATATAGATAATACATACTCAAATTTGATTATAAATAGGCATAATTTATAATTTCAGTTTACTTACACTAAAAACAAGCACATTTATTGGTTAACCTATTATAAGTTAACACAAATGCTGAGTTGTTAAATAAAAAACTTGAGGGCTTAAATTGGTATGTCCAGCTTTTAATTAAACCATCTAACGTCTTTAAACTATATATATAAAAGCAAAGCAGCTGGTATAAGAGTTGTTTTCCCGCTCATTTTGCATTTAATGTCTGCAATAATTTGTTCCGCTCAATTTCCCATACTATGAATAAATGAAGTTTTTTGTATATTGTATTTTCTCTCATAATTGTTTTGCTCAAATGTGAACACTCAATAATTAATAATTATTACTATGAGAAATACAAGCACTCATTAATGGATCTAACTATTTTCGTGCAAGTGTTGATTATTTAAGGAAGAAAGATACATCTATTAAATTAACTTTTTTTTACATAGAAGTTGTAACCCTCTTTATTAATAACATATTGTTAATTATCAAATTTAGTTACTAGTAATCAACCTGTGCATTTGCACAGAGAAGACTTCTTTAAAAAGATAATAATATAAAAAAAACAAAAATAAATCATAATTTAATTTATGAAAAAAAATATGAATTAAGAAAATAATTCTTAAAATTGATTTTGATCAAGTAATTGTTATGGAAGAGCCATACAACCATTTTCTTTATGCTAATACACCCGGTCATTTTCATGAGTGGGTGTGACTTAAAATTTGAGTACAGTTTTGTAACTACCTTGATTGGTTTATGCTCATAATTTATGGCATTCAAACAAGTTATTTTGTAATTTAAAAATGAAATTGAATGCTGAAAATTTTGGAGGGAGAATACAATTTAATGCATGAGAATAAAATTTAATACATGATAATATAATTTAATGTATTTTTGCTGCTCTTTATATATATATAGATTTCAAAATCTTGATGGTGAACTTAACAACAAATAAATAGTTATATAGTTATTTGTATTTTCATTTCTTTTGGTGGAATGCAAGCTCTTTAATCGTTTTGAAAAAAAAAATAAAAAAAATAAAAAAAAAAATAAAAAATAAAAAAAAAATAACTTAACAAAAATAAAAATCATCTTGATAGTGAAGAAGTGTGAAAACCAAACATCAAACATCAGTAGACAAATAATTCTAAACATGTCGGTAAATTAAAACTGTTGCAACAAAAAGCTAACTCATACAAATTATACTATTTAAATTAATATAAGTGAAAGGGAACAAAAAAATGCAAAATAAAAACTATAATAGAATATTTTTTATTTGGATTTCACGAATAAAATTATTTAAAAGACTTTATTTTCAAATAACAATTGAGTAATCTATAAATCATATGCATATATTTGTGTGTATGTGTAGGATTATCTGCGTGTGAATCAGCTGCAAATTCCTANTCAAATTAAAACAACAAATATGAGTATAAATATTTGGTAAAAGATGTAGTGGAATTATTCACTTGACAATTAGACTTGCGGAAATTGTAATAATATGCACTTAGCAAATCTTTATAAGGTATACAAATCAAATTAAAACAACAAATATGAGTATAAATATTTGGTAAAAGATGTAGTGGAATTATTCACTTGACAATTAGACTTGCGGAAATTGTAATAATATGCACTTAGCAAATCTTTATAAGGTATACAAATCAAATTAAAACAACAAATATGAGTATAAATATTTGGTAAAAGATGTAGTGGAATTATTCACTTGACAATTAGACTTCCTATAGGGACCTTTGTGATATATAACTACATGTCATATTTGAAATTGCATTAGTGCAGATAATAAATTATTTTTTTATTTATTGTGAATTTTCATTTGACTTTTCCATCAATTATTCTCCTTTTTTTTTTCTTTGTGAGTATACACAATTGTCATTGTGAACTTCCATTCCTATTTTTATGAATTATTATTATTTTTATTAAAAATATGATTATTATTATTATTAAAAATCTTTTGCCTCCTGAGTGTAAATTTATTTTATTCTATACTATATTTTTTTTATTTAAAATCATATTACATAATTTCATTACAGAATTATTAAAAAAAATGGCAGAATATATTGTTTTGAATTTATTTTTTAGAACATGTGAAATAATCACATTTATTTTATATTATTTTTGTATTTTTTAATGTAAATAGAAAATTTATTTTGAATATGATATCACATATAAAATAAAAAATAAATAAATTTTATATAGTTTTATATTTAACTTTTATATTGCATGTAATCAGAACCAGCCCTGGCCCCTGGGCGACGGTCCAGGGCCCAGGACTGGGACTAATTTGAAGGGGGCACCATTCAAAGAAGCCTTTCTTTTGCCTGATCAATAATGCAAATAATAAGGAATTGGGAATTTTGGAGGATGTATATTTTATGTGAGTGTGTTATGGATAAGAAATCGATTCGAAAAATGAGAAATAATTGGGATATGTGGTCTGTAATTTTGAGAAGGAAGAATGAAGAAGGAAGAAGGACGAAGGAAGAAGATAGTGAAAAGAAACAGAGAAGTTTGACCAAAAAATGGGAGAGAGAAAGGGAGAGAGAAAAAAGGGAAAAAAAAGGAAAAATAAAAGGAAAAATACCTTTTTAAAACGGATGCTTGTTTCAATAGCATAATCTATATATATATAATAAGAATTAACATTTAACAAAAATAGTAGCAAAAAAATAGGAAAAAATTTAATGCAACCTATAAATAGTAAGTTTTATTAATTTTTTTATTTTTATCTTTAAAAAATCATACAACATTAAATGTTGCATTAAATTTTGGGCTTTAATTCATTTTATTATTTAAAAATTTCAGCTAAGATCTATTAAGTGTACATTTTTATTTTTTTCATAGAAATAATGAAGAACATTAAAATCTCAGTCTCTATATTTATAAAATCTCACTTCAAAAGGTAATAAAAATTTTAGAATCAGGGAAGTATCTAGAAAAATATTTTGGGGCGGGGGTGACTAGAATTGTAAATCGAACAAAATTGTCTGCGAACATAACTCGGCCTGACTAACAGGAGATACATGAACTACATGTTTTATTTATAAAATAGTTTAGAAATATTTTGGGTGACTTCACATCTTTCAATAATGATATATAAAATTTTAGATACTTCACATAAGTTATATAATATTTTAGGTGTTTTTAATATTTTAAACATACATTTTTTATGTTATTTTATACAAGATAATTTTATATTGTTTACAACTGATATACGATAAATTATGTCACATATTAACTCCACAAATTAATTACAATTTTTAGTTAATATTGTTTACCTCATATTTAATTTATAATTATTAGTTAATATTGTTTACTATCATCGTTAATTTATAATTATTATTTAATATTATTTACCCGTGCATCGCACGGGCTACACACTAGTTAGGTAAACATGGAATAATTAAAATGCTATTACAATAGATCCGTTTTCAACAAATATTAATTGCAAAAAAAGTTAAATGCACAAAACTTTCTTAAATTCTATATCAAAACCTACCAACCCATTTAATTCTTTTTTTTTTTTGGTGTATCTTTGTAGTTTATGTATTATAAATTATAATCACTATTTATTTAAAAAAAATTACATCTCATTGAATAAAAAATCATTTAATTAAGCAACAAAGCATAAAATAATAAAAGTTATTATTGAATATATCAAAATAAAGGAGAGTTAATTTTCTCCACAAAATTATAAGGATTTATATAAATATAATATTCAACTTACACATAATTATATGATTTGTAAATAATGGTGTTCGTACTTACTTATGATTTATGTATGTAAATAATGGTGTTCGTACTTACTTATGATTTATGTTTGTATAAATTTTCTTAAAATTTATTTATTCAGTTTATTAGCTTATTGAATTGAAATAAACAAAAATGAGGGACAAATTTTTTTATTAATTCATGCAAAGTTACTAATGTATGGGATGTAATTGTTAAAATCACATAAATTTCATCGTAATGAACGAAAAAGGAGGGGCATTATTCTTACATTTTGCCCCGGGCCTAATAAAGGCTAGGACCGGCTCTGCATGTAATGTCAATAGAAATTTGGATTTGTCACGTCAATATATGATCATTATGCATAGTTTAATGCCACATTGACGCATAGATTCCAATATATCTACTAGCTAATCCTATTTAATAAAATATTTAATAAAAATATTTTCACTTTCCCTTCAAAAGGAGTTACATTTTTTTAATTAATTACTCACTAATCCCACACTTATAAATTTTTTTTTAGTTAAACCTAATTAGTTAATGGCTAAATTAAAAACGTTTCTTTTAGTTAATCCCACATTTATGTTTCTTATTCTCGTTTATATATATAAACGTGACAATCATTATTGTTGTGCAGAAACTATATATTATTATTTTTTTATTCTATTATAAATTGAATAAGCAATTAAAGTTATAAAAAATATTAATAAATGTACTAAATACAAACATTATAATATAGATCATGCTACATTACAATATAAAAAATAAAGTTATTTTTTTTTTTTAATTTAATTTGCAACCATACTCCATCAAACATATAGCTCCAAAATGATAAGAAAGATTAGTTTTATAATTAAAATTAAAAATTTAGCTACCCCAAATGATAAAACCTTATAAATTACTAGTATATATACATTTAAATGACATATAATTTATAAACTTAGACCATACGCATAATAAGATGAATTGAAAAAAATTAATGAATTAAATAAATAAATTATTATTATAGCACAGTCTATATAATTATTATAGCAAAATATATATTATCAATATTATCATCTAAAAAGTTCATTGAAAAAACATATGTATAAAAAAAATCCAAGTGATCATAATTAATAGTGCAAATTAACTATCTTTGACTTTCCATTTGGTAGTAATAATAAAATATTTTATATTACTACTATTCTATAAAATGCATAATTTCTGCAGATTTGATTATCGCAATCAACATTTTGTTTTATAAATTAAAAAGTGTGCTGAATAAATTGTCTCATATTTTTCATTAAAAAAAAAATAGTTGGCCATGAAAAAAAAATATTATTTCACAATTATAAATATAAATATGATTAATTTTCATTAAACAATCCCTCTTTAAGAAAAAAGTGGCGGAACAAATTTCTACATGATTATAGCATCAAAACATATCCAAAACATCAATATTTTAATGCATTAAAAACCATACTTTCAACAACAGAACAGTCATATTAAACGGAAATTGGCAATGTCAAAGAATGAGGATTGACAATGCATTGTATGTAATGGCAGATTGTTGCATAATATAGAAATATCAAGTATAATTAATAATCAACAAAAAAAAAGTCAAATCTATATGAAAAAATCAATATTAAAAATACAGCAAATTATGTGGAATATTATTGGACACTATACAATATAGAAAGAAAAATAATTTGATTTCCCTATCATTATCAACACATTCAACTTTTACCAAGACATCTGCCTGTATATTAAAATCGATTTTTTGCATACAAGTTTTAAAAATAAAAATTCCTACAGATTCTTTTAAACATTATACAAGAAATTCCTAATATGCGATAAATATATCTAAACAGATTTGTTATAAACTTACCTAATATTTCTAAATTTTGAACAAAATACTAAAAACTTTGAAAAACTTCGGCAAAAGACTTTGAACAACTTTGAAAAGTGATTTTGAACAAGTGTTAGCAAAGTTTCACTTACTGATATGATGAGAAAGACGAGAAAGAATTGAAGTATTTAGTGTTCAAAATCTGAACAAAATATATAAAAGTTACATACATAGGTTATAAAAAGATATGAACAGATATGTTATAAACTTACCTATATATTTGTTAGTAGAGCTGAACAGATCTGTTACAAACTTACCTATTTTTTCAAGCCCTGAACAAAATACACAAAAGTTTAAAAAAGTTCGACCAATTTCATGTTCTCTTCTAAAAACGATTTCGAAAAACATCGAAATAATTTTGAATTATGTATAAAATATGATATATCTTTGAAGCTTATTCACAAACAATTTCGAAAAACGACACAGATCATTGAAAATAATAAAAAATAAAAACTACGTTTAACAAAAAATAGTTCAGCTTTTCATAGATATTTAGCAACACAGATTAAGAAATCGAGACGAATATTTATTTTTCGATCACTACTATTGCCACAAAAACAACATTTCTCGGATTTTTTTTTTAATTTTTTAAGCTTTTACTGGGAGAAAATCTCCGGTAAAACATTTGTTTTGTATTGAATCTCGCCAAGTTTGTCGTAAGATCGGGTTAAGGATTAGGGTTTCAGACAGAGTGAATAACGAGAGAAGCGTCGACATCAAACAAAAAAAAAATGGCTTACATCACTCTCAAGGAGTTTATCTCTATTTATAGTCATGTTATCATTGACCTGTTTTATATTTGATTTTGGTTACCCTAAAAAATTAAGTGGACTTCTAATTTGGGATTTTTTTATCATTCAATCAAAATATTTCTTTATGGCCCAAAAATTATCATTTTGTTCAAATGTCTTAAATTATTTATCAACCAAATACAATTATTTATTTTGTATCAGTTTGCTGGTATTTTTTTAGTATTTTTTTAAATTTTCTATATGATCTATAGTACAAAATACAATAATTATTTAAAAAAACAAACTATTATATGTCTCAATTTGAAGATAGTGATGTATAGTGATGGAAATTCTGTGTATAGAAAAACCACAAACGTTGTATATAAAGAATTGTTTAACAATATTTAGTTATTCTTTCTTAGAACATTTTTTCAATGCTTATATTATGATTTTTACTATTGTTTATATCTTTTTATTATTTTTTGTTCTATTATATTGCTTTCCGTACAAATGCACGGGTTAAAAACTAGTTGTATTGAAATTGAACGTCAAATATTTAAATATCTATACACCAAGTTAGAGTTTTTGGTTGGTCTAGCTTTTAATCAAACCTCAAATTTCACATTACCATATAAATCAATTGTGAATTAATAATAGGACGTTCACCATCTAAATACATTTATCAGTATAAATAATTTTGAGTATAATAATTTAAATATATTATCATATTTTTATAACCATATATGAAGTAAAAATAATATTGATAAACTACTTTTGTGGTGATAACCTATTGTAATACAGAAAAGTACCAAATTTTTGCACTCAGATAAAAATAATTATGCTTACTATTTGTGATATTTTCAAATAACTAGAATTGGTACAAAAATACTTTAATCTTATTAACAAATCAAACCTTTATATCATTTTATATCTCTAGAGAGAACTAACTAATCACAAGTGATTATTGAATTGTTCCCATCATCAAATTTTTTAATTTTATGGATGCTGAATCTAGAAACAAAACATAACAAAATAAATTAGAAAACAAAACAATATAAATTAAAGTAAATATATGTTTTTTTTAAATTAAAAAAATCTTATCACTCGCAAACTCTCATGTGAGGTGGACTTAGGGTTAGACAAGTCAATATGTTATTCCTTTTTACCAAAATTACAAACATACATTGCAAAAATTCTTACTTTTGTTTATTTTATTTTTTAATTTTGTTTAAAATATTAAATAAAACACAACTAGAGTAATAGAAAAATAGCAAAGTTATATTTCATAAACAATATAATTTACTTCACTAAGAGAGATGCACTTTTCAAAAGAAAAATAATATCATCTACGGGGTTTCGGGGACGTGATTGCATCTGCATATGAAATATATCTTGAAAATGGTGAATGACATTTACTTTGACAAAAGAATTACACAAATTTAGGTCTTTTACAGATATCAAATGGCAACTTTGGATTTGAACATGATATCGAAATTTGATTGCATTTATGCGTAAGCAATAGATTAATACTTCATAACTAATATTGAAAACCTAAAAAAATAAAATTAGAAATGCTACATACAAACTAAGAGTGATGACATGATTTTCAAGAGGCACTCCTGGTTGTGATTGTAATATTGAAGAAAAAATGCATATATATATCATTCAATTCTTCAATTATATAGGCCTTTTCATATTTTGACCCAAAAGCACATAGTTTGCTTAATTTAAATTTATTTTTAGTTGGTATAATTTTTTTTATTTATTATTTAAATCTTGAGGAGACCATTGTATTTGCATTAAGTTTTTGCTCTTATTTAAATTTTGTACTTTTCCATAGCTATACAACCATATTTTTTGAAATGACATTACATAATGGGATAACTTTTTGTTATTTTTTTTGTTTTTGTATATCATATATTTTTTCATAACAATGACAAATATATATTCACTTTATCGAAAGATTGCGATAAATAAAGTTTCACAAAACTTACTATAAATGTAATTTTTTATTTTATTTTTATCATATACCGGAATTGTTAGTTTTACTTTTTATTATCTTAGAGTTACATAATATATTTTGAATATTTTATTCTTTTATTTTGCAGGAATTCACCAATGTATATTTCTTAAAAAATAAGTTATATTAAAATTCTCATAATCGTCATACAAATTAAGTCCTGGTGTTGATCTGACATTCAACGTGATCATTTTTATTTTTTTATTTCCTTTATATAATCTAAAACAAACTTGAAAGTATACAAGAAAAATAGCCTGATATATGTAGACATAAACTTTTATATAGTTTGAGCAGAAATTATATAATTTGTTTAATATATTTTATTTAGTCAGCATCATTTGTTTCATTTAAGTACAAATTTGAGGTCATCTAAAAGCTTGTGACTAAAGTGGTTGCCTTCATTTTAATTTTTTGTTGATCCACAATTATGAAACTATAATATTTTATATAAAAATATCATGATATGCAAAAAATTGCATATAATACATGTTTTTTTCTTATGAAAATTATGGAAATATTTTACCGCTACTGAACTATCGCAGTAGATAAAGTTCAATACGGAGTACTATATTGCATCAACTACATTTTTCTTTATCATGTATCACAAATGTTTGTTTTACCGAAACCATTTTATTGATTTAGAATTTATATAATATAATTTAAATTTCTTTTTCTTATTACTTTACAAAGATCTTTCAATGTACTCATTTCAAAAGTTGCATTAAAAATACTTTATCATGATTTTTATCCAAAGATAAGTATTTTATCTTGACTTAAACATTAAAGAGACCTATTTTGCACGTCATTTTCTTATCACCATTGTACTTATTTTGCAAGGAATGAAATTTTGAGATTTATTATTTTTTTTTCAACAAAAAGGTGAAAGATATGTGGATTTAAGTTAAAATTAGATATACGATCTAAAATTGGGTCATTTTTGTATTTATTCTCAAATGGTTAATTAATATTTATTATATTTAATTTGATCATATTTGTCATGTTAACTTTTCTTTTAGGTATATCAAGTTATTTATATAATAGTAATATTGTCTTTATTTTTTCTTTTAGAAATGGTGAAAATTATGTTATTATCGAGACATTTTTATGAAAATTTTTTGAGGAGGAATGTCATTAATATGTCAAATACCTTTATTCCCTGAATATCACAAATATTTTTAAGCTTAATTAATTAAATTTTAATCTTTTAAGGAAAAAATATATGCTATGTTGTAGTGACGGATAATTATATATTGTTTACAGAGTCACGAAAATAGTGATAATGAATGCAGTTCATCAACTATTAATGTCATGTTTAGGAAAACATTTTTAAATGTAAGAAATTAAAATTTTATTCTACTTATTTTTAGTATCTCTATACAAGTTTTTCAGAATAATTTTTCATACATTTAAATTAGAATTCACATCTATCATTTTTAAGATCAGGTCGCACAACGCGCGGGTGACTTACTACTATGGATAATGATATTGCAACCTGCAACAGAGGGTTAGCAGCAATTACCTATGTACGCTGCAGCCTAAATAAGATACGCCTTCTTGTTTGGAATTCGTTTATGTTGACATTGTATTTGTGTAAGTGCATTAACAACAGCAGTACCTATTGGCCTGCCCATTTGGTACTAATTAATGAATTAGCTTATTAGGTTGGTTTGATGGGGATCTCTCAAGGCTACTACTTATGCTTAATCATACTTGTTAGCCCCTAGTATATATTCAACGAGTATGAAACCACAAATTCTCTGTTTGTTATTTTATTTTTTATTTTTTTATTGTATGATTAACACAAAAAAAAGAAATAATATTTCAAGGATTTATTCACGGGGGGTACGGACACAACAGCCATTGCGACTGAGTGGGCCATAGCAGAGCTCATCAACAACCCGGATGTGCTGAGGAAGGCCCAGAACGAGATTGACCAAGTGGTGGGCCTTGACCGGCTGGTTGAGGAGTCGGACTGGCCCAATTTGCCCTACCTTCAAGCAGTGGTGAAGGAGATGTTCCGTCTCCACCCACCCGTCCCAATGATTCCAAGGAAGTCCGTCTCTGACTCTGTGGTGGGCGGCCACTCCATCCCTGCCAACTCCCTCCTTTTCGTCAACATCTGGTCCATGGGGAGGAACCCCGACTACTGGGAGGACCCAATGCAGTTTCGGCCTGAGAGGTTTATCGGAAGCTCCATAGACATCAAGGGGCAGCACTTTGAGCTCCTGCCTTTCGGGACGGGCATGCAGGAGGGGCTGCCCGGGGATGCTGCTCGCCATACAGGAGCTCATTGTTATAATTGGGACAACGGTGCAGTGCTTTGACTGGAAGCTGCCTGAGGGGTGCGGGCACGTTGACATGACCGAGCGCCTCGGCTTGACAGCTCCACGGGCCAACGATCTCGTCTGCAGGGCGGTGCCCAGGGTTTCCCCACAGACTCTTTCCGGGCACTGAATGGCGAAGGGGGATTTTCTGTTTGCTGTATTTCATTTAATGAAAAAAAAAAGAAATTATTGTGTAACTCGGCTATGTTTTTGAGATGATACTGTCTCTTATGATTGGAAGCCAGAGCCGGTCCTGGACTTTGTTAGGCCCTGGGAAAATCTTAAAAATAGCGTCTTTCTTGTTTCGTTTACAATTATGAAACTTATATAGATCTCAATTCGCACAATAATATTTCAATAAGTACGTAGAGTTATTCATATAATATAAGGATGAAGACTTGCAATGTGTGATTTTGGAAATAATGCATGATGTAACTTTTATGAGATAAACTCGATTTTTCTTTTTATATAAAAATGTCCTACCAAACTAAGGTTATTCAGATGCAAGATGTTAATAAGCAATTTTAAATGGACCTTATTATAAGTATTACATCATTATTTCACATAAAAATTATATAATTATATATAAGTAGAATATTTCATTTATGTAAATCCTTATAATTTGGTGGAAAAATTTAAGCCTATTATTTTATTGCATTTTTATTGAATTACAACTCATACTATTTTAGACTTTATTAGCTAGTTGAATGCCTTTTTTATTTGATGAGATGTTAATTGATTAGCATAAATAGTGATTATAATACGTAAGCCAATAAGACAAAATAAATGGAATATGATTAAGAAATAAAGAGTGAATTGAATTGGACTTGGTTGGTTTTGATTTAAAATTTCAGTAAAGTTTCGTAAAATACTTTAATTATTGTTAATGAAGTTCTCTAATATTTGTGAAAAACATGCAATATTTGTATTATTTTAGTGGCTTTATACATTAAGTATTTAGTACATGGAATATGAAATTGAGCTAATTGTATGTATTGGGCCTAAAAATTAGACATGTTACACCTTAAATTATAGAGGCCTTTTTTTGAATTGGGCCCTTACATATTTAAGTTAATTGTATATATTGAGCCTATAAACTAAACATATTAAAAATTAAACAATTGGGGCCCCTTTTTGAATTGGGCCCTGTTTGTCCCATTTTGTTACGTTTTTCTATGTTGTTTTGTCGTTCTTTTTCCTCCATTTTAGGTATTTTTGTTGGTTTGTAGTTCATTTTGTTGATTATCGCGTGTTTTCCTTTATTTTGGTTCTTTTTGTGTTTTTCGTATGTTTTTTCTGTTTTTCTTCTTGATTTTGGTGTGCAGGTCAGAAGCCCGTGAGGAATAAGTTTAGCCGGAAAACGGCCCGAAAAATCATGGTTAGATAGATGGGTTCGTTGGCTACAAGTAGGAAAAAGCGGAATTCGATTTCTAGTTCGGACGAGTCCGGACGGACCCGATATGTGAAGTCGTGCACGGAAGCCGTCACCTTCAAGTCAAAAGCTTTGGGAGAATAGTTTTTCAAGAATAAGTTGGATTTAAAAGCACAATTACGTAGAAGGCTTCGTTCGCAACGCGTAGGAAAAAACGGAATCGAATTCTGAGTTCGGACGAGTCCAAACGAGCTCCAGAAGCGACGGAAGCAAGCAGTCCCGCGCGGCGCGGCGCGGCAACTCCTCCGCGGCGCGACAAGGCCTTCCTCCACGGCGTGAAGCCCTCCACGGGCGTACAGAGACTCACGCATCTACTCCCCACCACGCCGCGAGACCCCTCCACGCCGCGACACCTGCTTCCTCCACGCCGTGCTGCCTCTCTACATCGTGACACTCGTGACCTCCACTCCGCGCCACACCATCTCATGCCGTGACCTTGTGCCACCTATAAATATGTGTACGGGATGTCAATTAAAGGAGAATCTCCCCTCTTGAGAGTAAAAATCCTAGGCCCGATAACTCCACGACAGAACTCTTTTCTCTGCTTCTTCTTCTTCGTTTTCCTTTTCTTTACACCTTCATTTTCCATTTTTCTTCTTCTTCTCTACATCTAAGGATTAAGCTTATATTTCGAATTCAACTTTGGAACTTGGATTGATTGTAAGTACTCATTTCTCTTATTTGATTCATGAATAATGGTTATTTGAGAGGAATGATTATGATTGTTGAATTTGATATTCGTAGCTAAGTCTGATTGCTAGGGATAGGGGATGAATATTCTTGTTTAACGTGCATTTGTCGGGCTCAAGATTGTTCATGCTTATGTGAGTTGAATTGATTAGGAATTGATGAATTTGTGCTTGATAGTTTGATAAAATCGAAGGGTGACACTTCGATCTTGCAATTGGTAACGATTGAATATTGATTTGTCGAGTTAGGATTTGTTGATTCCATATGATTAGTTGATTAAACACCTTCTAATTGAATTAGCGACTTTTAGAACCGAAAGGAAAGAAGTCGTAGACCTAGGCTCGCATGAGATAGATGATTTCGTAGCTGAATAATCTATTGGTTGAGACTGAAATACGTGCTTGTCGATGACCCGTCCCTTGTTACGAAAAGTTATTGGGATTGGGATAATTGGCCTGTGTTGTATGCTCGAGCTTGTTTGTCTATGTTCAATCCCTTGTTACGAAAAGTTATTCGGAGCGAACTGCTAGATGTTTAAGCGAGAGTGTCAATCTCGAACCGAGCAATCGACTGCCCGGCTTTGCTAGAACTTGAATTATTTATCCCCAATTCCCTAGCTTCTCCATCTTTGTTTCGTTTATATTTTTAGGTAGATTATTGTTTTCATATTATTCTTAGTTGGTAATTATTTTACCCCAATCTTGATTAGAGTGTTTAGGATTTGTTTTCCTTTTGTGTGTTGTCAATACCACTTCTAAATTCCGAACCGCCTTCCTCATGAAATCAACCCGGGGAACAAATCCTTTGATTCGGTACTCGGTAAATATAACAATTTGTACACAACAAATTTGGCGCCGTTGCCGGGGAAGGCAAGTAGGACATTTTGTTTTGGTGTAGATTTTATTTCTGTGTTTCTCTTTATTTTGTGTTTTTCGTGTTCGTGTCCTTTGTCTGCATTTTTGTTATTCTTTTTGTTTTTGTTTTAGTTTTTATTCCTTTTCTTCCTTTTCGTGGCTACGTGTGGTTGTTCTGTTTTGGTGTGTAGGTATGATGAATTTCAACCGTGTGTTTCCCTCACCGCACACCCAGTCTTGGGGTCACGAGCCAAGCTATCACATCGGGTGCTATTACCAGTCATCTCCGTACTCTTCCGAGCAGTGCTGGGATCCTTACACAGTTGAGCAAACTTATGACTCCCACGAGCATAATGAGAAGCTCGACCGGATTCTCAATTTCATTACATCTCAATCAGCTCAAGAAGAAGAGGCTGCATTCAACGAAAAACTCGATCTAATCCTGGCTCGAGTAATGGCCCAAGCAAACCGAGAAGGGGAGATTGAGCTCAGATGTGCCCGTTTGAGCGAGTAATTGGAAAGTTTAGCAACGCGCATCAACTCTATCGAGTCACGAGCCAAAGAGCCCATGGTTGGGGACCCACATCCGGCACTTATACCTTTCGATGAGCTTGAGGATGACGCTTCGGGATACAACGCCAAACTTGACCTCATCCTCGATCGTATGATGGCCCAAGCAAACCGAGAAGGAGAGATTGTGCTCGGGTGTGCTTGACTGAGCACTCAAATGGAGAATCTAACACCACGTCTCGACTCTATCGAGTTGAAATTCGACGACTCCCATCTTATGGTTGGTGCCCAAACATGTATTCCGATGCACATGTGTGAGACCGAAGAGGAAGATGATGCTCTCCAGTGGGACGACGATGTTTCGAAGGAGGCGATTCATGGACTTGATCACATCACCATTTCTCGAGTTCCTCCTCCCGCTACCGAGATGGAGCATTCACCTTCGGAACCATTACACTGTGCTACCAAGTGGGCCAGATTTAGCTTGACTTGCTCCACGGATGTGCTCGTTGTCCCTGAGGTTGATGACAGAGCTCGAGTGGGAAAAGCTCTATGTTAGTACTTGGTGATTGTTCGTGCTCGAGACCACTTCATACAGAACGTCGCCACCCGGATCCATCGGGCCCGCCTTCTTGCCACATTTCCTATGCTTCCACTGCTAGAGAATACGAAGGCGTGGCATGATGGTCATTTGTTTCTGGATCCTGGTTGATTCGTGTACAGGTTTCGTCAAGCTAATGACGTAAAACAAGCACTTCTTGGGAGGCAACCCAAGTGATATTTACCGCTTTCTTAGCTAATTTCGTTTATGCATTTTTAGTTTTTATTCTTGAATAATTGGAGTTTTGGGAGTTGTGTGGTTTTTTCTTGTCAGGACCTATCGAAGCTTGGAGCTTGGGCGAAAGGCATGCACTGGAAGATTAGTCTTCTTGAGTCACCCCCGGTTTGCACACCTTTTCTCTTTTTACATTTTTTTAGTGTGTTTCTTCCTTCTACTTTTCCTTCTTAGTTTTTGTGCTTGTGTTAGATGCTGGTATTGGTTTATTGCATGAAATTGCTAGTTCTTGTATTTGGCTCCTGGTTTTGTGTTGAAGCAATGAGGACATTGCCTCATTTTAAGTGTGGTGGAGTTTACTTAGATTTGGCATGCTTATGTGGTGAATCAATCTAGTTTTAGTTCTTTTTGCGTGTCTTGTGAGTATGGATATTGGTGAATTTTAAGTTTTGTTGATATTTGTCGATGAAGTTGAGGAGATGTGATGTTGATCATGATGGCATATTTTGATGAACTTGATTGGTCGTTTTGATTGGATATTATTTGCCTTGTGAGGTTTTAGCCTTATTTTGTTTCTTGAGAGATATTGGTCGGATTCGTGTTGATCAGAACTTGCTTTGAGTCTGTTTTGAAATGAAGTGATTAAAGTTGTGATTTGTGAAAATGATTGAGGCATTTCTTTAACATTGCTCGTTTTAGCCTTTTCATTGACCTTGAACATATATTTTCATTAGTAGCCCGTTGAGCCTTGAACCTTGTTTCTTGTCAACCGAATTGATTGAATTTCTTGAGATTTGACAGTGCAATTGTTATGATGACGGGTTTCTACTATGTGTTGGGAGAAGGTTTATAACTTGCTTGAGTTGCATTTTGGGTGCCTGACAAAAAAAAAAATAATAATAAAATAAAAATAAAAATAAAATAAAAAAAAGGAGACTCGCAAGACGGACTAAAGGATTCTACTCCGCTTACTTGTCGAAATTCTTTGACGAGTAATGAGTATTGGGAAACCATTCTAGGAAACTTGGATGACCTCCAATGTTTAAACCTAGAGAATGTCGTCCTGGTGTCTTAGTCTTGTTAGGAAAAAGCAAACTCCTTAAGTTATTACAAAAAAAAAAAAAGTCAAGTACTTAATTTGCATTTTAGCTTGAGCATGTGTAGTAGTGTATGGAGTTTTTGGTGGGGATGATTAGTTTCTTGTTGATTACGGATAGGTGGTGGGGTATTCGAGTATTTATGTGCTCGAAAGTGTGACTGTTTATTTGAGCCACTTTATCTTCTTATTTGTCCTTCCTTTGATACCTACATTATAACCCATGAAGCCCTCTTGATTTGCAAATTAATGATCTTTGATTGTTTTAGAGTATGAGCAGACGATAAGCAAGCCTATGTTGAAACTTGATTGCCGACCAATTTGACCGTTCCCATTTCATATTTATGTAAGAAACTGGGTGAGGCATTATACATGATATTTCCGTGTTTGAGAGTTTGTCTTGTCAATGCGTACCATTTAAGTTGTAATTGAGATGTGTTTTATTGGTCTTTTGAAGTCTCCTGGGCTAAGTCAATGAATTTGAAACTTTTCTTATTTGAAACCGATATTCATGCTCATGTCTTGTTTTCTTTTCTTTTTGTTCGGGACGAACAAAGGTTTAAGTGTGGGGGAGTTGTTTGTCCCATTTTTGTTACGTTTTTCTATATTGTTTTGTCGTTCTTTTTCCCCCATTTTAGGTATTTTTGTTGGTTTGTAATTCATTTTGTTGATTATCGTGTGTTTTCCTTTATTTTGGTTCTTTTTGTGTTTTTCGTATGTTTTTCCCGTTTTTCTTCATGTTTTTGGTGAGCAGGTCAGAAGCCCGAGAGGAATAAGTTTAGCCTGAAAACGGCCCGGGAAATCATGGTTAGATAGATGGGTTTGTTGGCTACAAGTAGAAAAAAGCGGAATTCGATTTCGAGTTCGGACGAGTCCGGACGGACCCGATATGTGAAGTCGTGCACGGAAGCCGTCACCTTCAAGTTAAAAGCTTTGGGAGAATAGGTTTTCAAGAATAAGTTGGTTTTAAAAGCACAATTGCGTAGAAGGCTTCGTTGTCAACGCGTAGGAAAAAACGGAATCGAATTCCGAGTTCGGACGAGTCTAAACGAGCTCCAGAAGTGACGGAAGCCAGCAGTCCCGCGCGCCGCGGCGCGGCAACTCCTCCGCGGCGCGACAAGGCCTTCCTCCACGGCGTGAAGCCCTCCACGGGCGTACAGAGACTCACGCATCTGCTCCACGCCATGCCGCGAGACCCCTCCACGCCGCGACACCTGCTTCCTCCACGCCGTGCTGCCTCTCTAAGTCGTGACACTCGTGACCTCCACTCCGCGCCACACCATCTCACGCCGTGACCTTGTGCCACCTATAAATATGTGTAGGGGACATCGATTAAAGGAGAATCTCTCCTCCTGGGAGTAAAAACCCTAGGCTCGATAACTCCACGACAGAACTCCTTTCTCTGCTTCTTCTTCTTCGTTTTTTCTTTTCTTTACACCTTCATTTTCCATTTTTCTTCTTCTTCTCTACATCTAAGGATTAAGCTTATATTTCGAATTCAACTTTGGAACTTGGATTGATTGTAAGTACTCATTTCTCTTATTTGATTCATGAATAATGGTTATTTGAGAGGAATGATTATGATTGTTGAATTTGATATTCATAGCTAAGTCTGATTGCTACGGATAGGGGATGATTATTCTTGTTTAACGTGCATTTGTCGGGCTCAAGATAGTTCATGCTTATGTGAGTTGGATTGATTAGGAATTGATGAATTTGTGCTTGATAGTTTGATATAATCGAAGGGTGACACTTCGATCTTGCAATTGGTAACGATTGAATATTTATTTGTCGAGTTAGGATTTGTTGATTCCATATGATTAGTTGATTAAACACCTTCTAATTGAATTAGCGACTTTTAGAACCGAAAGGGGAGAAGTCGTAGACCTAGGCTCGCATGAGATAGATGATTTCGTAGCTGAATAATCTATTGGTTGAGACTGAAATACGTGCTTGTCGATGACCCGTCCCTTGTTACGAAAAGTTATTGGGATTGGGATAGTTGGCCTGTGTTGTATGCTCGAGCTTGTTCATCTATGTTCAATCCCTTGTTACGAAAAGTTATTGGGAGCGAACCGCTAGATGTTTAAGCGAGAGTGTCAATCTCGAACCGAGCAATTGACTGCCCAGCTTTGCTAGAACTTGAATTAATTATCCCCGATTCCCTAGCTTCTCCATCTTTGTTTCGTTTATATTTTTAGGTAGATTATTGTTTTCATATTATTTCTTAGTTGGTAATTATTTTACCCCAATCTTGATTAGAGTGTTTAGGATTTGTTTTCCTTTTGTGTGTTGTCAATACCACTTCTAAATTCCGAACCGCCCTCCTCATGAGATCGACCCGGGGAACGAATCCTTTAATTCGGTACTCGGTAAATATAACAATTTGTACACAACAGGCCCTGGCATGGGCCCTGGGTTGTTGCCCAGGTTGCTCTGGGCCAGGGCGGCCCACTTGGAAGTTCATTAATTTTGTGTTTTAATAAATTGGCTGTTGAAGGGCACAAATCTTTCAGGGGAAATGATGAATTGATCCATGGGGGTTAGCTGGATATGATTTGGGTTTCTGTGGCACAAACTCTCTACACGACGCGACAGGATACTTTATTTGCGCGGATACCAGCAAGATTCCACATGGTAAAAACTAGGTGTTGACAAAGTCATTATGTTTTGAGTTGTTTGGTTTAATGCCTGATTGTAATGTTTTATTTGTTAGTTCTTTTTAGTTTGAACTTTGTTGTGGTGGGCTACTTTGCTGTTTAGGGTTAGGTTGTAAGACTTTCATGAGCCTCTTGGGACTGCTGTTGTATTACCAAGTTGGTTATAGTCATTTGACTACCCTTGTACTCTTGTTTACTGAGCTCTATATGAGGTCTTAGTTTGTCAGTTGAAAAAATAAAAAAGAACTATATCTCAGTTAAATTGTTACAATTTTCTAGTTGACATCAATAGTAAAATATTTGATTGAATATCTATTTGTATCCCGTTATGAGGATGAAATATGTTTTTCAAACCATCAAATAACAGGTTAATTTTTTTTGCAAAAAATAAATTATGCGACAGACAGACTAACATAATTAATATAGTACAGAACAATTATGCGATAAACTATGCGACATAAGACAAAGATAACTGATAAAATGCAAAATAATTATGTGAAAAACTGGCGAACATCATTGATAAAGTGCAAAACAATTACGCAATAAACTATGCAACAAACAGACGAAGATAATTCATAAAGTGCAAAATTGTTGTGCTATAATATATGTGACATGTAGGCGAACCTAATTGATAAAGCTAGTATGAAACAATTATGCTATACTGTGTGACAAACAAACCACGATAATTGATGCGACCAGTATGTGACAGCAGACTGAAGATAATTGATAAAGTGTGAAAAAGTTATGGGATAAACTATGTGTCAAACATTTGAACATAATTGATAAAGTACGAATGCGATAAACTATGCAACATACATATGTAGATAATTGATGCGAAATGTTATGCGACAGACAAACGAAAATAATTAATAAAGTGTGAATTATTATGCGGTAATTAATAAAGTGTAAAATAGTTATGCGATAAACTATATGATAACTAGACGAACATAATTGATAAAGTGTGAAACAATTATACGATAAACTCTGCGACAGAGAGTCGAAGATACTTGATACGAAAAGCTATGCGACAAACGAGCGGATAGAATATATAAAGTGCAAAAACATTATACAAAACGCTTTGTGACAAACAGACGAATATAATTGATAAAGTACAAAATATTTATGCGAAATATATTTAGTTTGTTAAATAATTTTTTTATTTATTTTTTATGTTTTTGAAAGCACATACAAGAAACATTTGCACCAACATTAATGCACAATAGTTCTATTTACCATGCAAACAACATGACGTCAACATATATAGTGACGTAGCAAACTATCTTAAGAAGTTGCTTGTCAAATCCCATTGACCCTAACATATTCTCATTTGATTTCCAATGGCTTATTCTCATGTGATCTTGATGTTCATATGTATATACTAGGAATCTCTTGCACAACCGGCCCACGATACCGAAATATTTATATTTGAAGTTGATACTCCCAAATTTTAAACAATCCAATTCAAAATTGCATAAAAAGACTATTGAAAAAGAATTTATGCTCACAAACCACTTAAGAACATTGATAAAATAAATAAATTATACGAAAAAAATTAAACCCACGCAGGACTGTTAAAACACGACTTTTAATTTTTAAAATCAAAGATAATTGATCAAACATTATTTCTGTGATTACCAATTTGTCGTAAAATCCGCCACGCTTATTAGTTTAAAAAGTATACTCATTGAGTTAACTCATATTTCCTGTAGTGCTTCAGTCACAGCAGACTCCCCAAATCGGCCCAGAGCTGCTTACGAATCGACAGGCTAGGGGATGAACGATTTATTACTACCAATTGGAAATGCTTACCTTCTTTGGTATACTCCATTCAAATACCTCTCTTAGGGACATGAGTTCTACATTCGACAAGGAACCCGCCTACTTGACCTGCTTACCTTGAGCTTTCACATAACCGGAAGAGGAACTCATCTATAAAAGGGCTAAAGCCAATCCGTCACTCGAAGAGGAACTCGTTAACTATTGAGTCAACTTCCATAAGCTAAGACAAGGGCGAAGGGACTGCCAAGACCAGAACAAGAAGCTAAAGTCTTCAGTGTCCCCTACTCTTCATCACCCTTTGTCCCTATCCGGGGTAGGGTAACTCTTCCGAGAGCCGGCTCAGAAGTGCGGTAACAACATTTTGGCATTTCTCATTTCATGCATTGCCCGGATCATACGATTTGATCTTATTCGGCAGACTTCTCACCAGTCTTAGAAAAATAGGCCTTCAAACATCCGAAATACGTCGGGGCAAAGTAACTAAGTTGTATTTGCCAGTAAGGCGCTTTCTATTGTCTTTGCATCTCCCCGGTAAAAAGTCCATATTTAAAAGCGAAGCGAAGTGAAGTCATAGAAGCTTCGTTCGTTCCCTCCACTCTATGATATTAAAGGAAAGAGGGGAACTCAATTGCCAGCTTGTCGCGTAACAACCTAAGACCAAAGCTCTCAGCTGCTACTAGAGAACTCCAAACTCATCGACCTGTCCCAAGAGAGGGATGCCCGGGTGTGAGGGCCGAAAGCCCCGCATAAAAGGGAAGAGGCGCATGGGTCACCCGAAACAGAGCTGTCTTCACTAGTTAGATAAACAAGCCCATCGTCACGGCATCAATTTCCTCAAAATCAGAATGGAGGAATTCCAACGCTTCAGTCAGCCGGAACGAATACCAAGATCGAATAATGCTTTCCACTCGGACATGCGCCTTCCGAATCCACCATCTCTTCCCTCTTTAGCTTCTATGACTGAACTTCACTTCGCTTCTAAAGCTCAAAAATAAATTTGCACCATCTAGTCCACAAGCGCCGTATTGTTTGTGTAATTAGTTTGACCACAATGGAGCCAATTATTTCAATTTTCAGCATGTATGGGCCCGATCTATTTTGTAATGGATAATTTTTTATGAGATGCCTACCAATTGTATTAAAATTTTATAATAATATCTTATCATTGAGAAACAATGACTTACAACAATTTCCTCTTAAAGTCGATACGTTAAGATGTGCCCCATGCCGGCAGATATAGTCTAAAATTTTTTTCCCAAACATATAAATTTTTCCAATTCAAATGGGTATGGTTGGTTTTGGTGAAAATTTCTGTGTCTTCTGTGTCCAGTCACACCTTAAAATTTTGCATAATCATCATGCAAAAAATAGAAACAAAAAGTCTAAAAGCAACTATACTCTATGATGCAACTCATTTCGAAGTTTTAGATAAATATGTACTAATTTATGTTACATTTTTGCATGATAATGTAAATAATATTGCGTTAATATAGTACTGAACTGTTCACGGCACTTGAACTTTTTCTCAAATTTTATTTTCTTTCAAATTAATTGTTATTTTTATTTATTATTTTAATAAAATATACGGGTAAAATATACAGGACCCCCCTGTATTATAGGAAATCTGCGCGTTTTCCCCTGGTATTTTAAAAATTGCATCAGACCCGCTTGTATTAACCAACTGTTGCACGATTCCCCCCTACCGTCCAACTTGGCGGCGCGTGTATTTTTTTCATATATTTTTTTATTTTAAAATTAAAATTTACTATTTTGCCCCTGCTTTTCTACCCATCATTATTGCAAAAATCGCTGCTCCTGGGATTCGATCTTGGGCCAAAACTTCAATAGGTAAGGCTTCACACCACTGCCACAATCATTCTATAATACATATGTAACACACATTTATTTAAAACTGCATAACACAAGAAAACTAATCAAACAAAAATTAAAAAAATAATACAATCACAAGATAAAGAAACAATAGAAAATATAATTTAAATAAAATATAATAAAAATTAAATATGAAAATTAAAAATAATTAAATAAAAAAAATAAAATGATAATTTCATTTAAATAAATTTTTCAATAAAATTATTAATTTTGAATTTGTAATAAACAATTTAAGTACTTATTATTTGTTTTGTTTATTTATTTTAAATTTTGGTAAATGTATAATAAATAAAAAATAATATTTATAATTTAAAAAAAATTAATTAAAGTATCAAGTATCCTTTGTTATGAGCTTTAAATAATATAAATAAGTTTTTATTATTTTATTTATTTTTAAATATGAATAAATATAATCGTATATAAAAATTTTAACCTTATTTGTAATTTAGAATCTTTTTATTTAGTTATTGTATTATTTATAATTTTTGAATATATTCACATAATTATTATATCACTTGTATTTAGAATCTAACTTATTCATTTAATATAAATATTTATAATTTAGAATATATAATTAAGTGCTCTCCTCTCCTTTCGCGTCGAGACTATGTTATAACCTTTCCTGAACTTCGCTTCGCTTTGTTCGTTGGGTGATAAAGCTCGCTTAGCCCTTTCTGTAACACCCCGCTTATCAGAGTAAATTTTTCGCAACTTTTATTTCGAAATTACTTATAACTCTTTCGAATAAATCATCCAAATCTTATAAAATCTCAATATTCTTGTTATGGTTCAAACTTTGCTTGATCTTTTACTCAATCAAATACTTACTCATATTATTTCTCCCAAATCTTATACATATGGCTTATACTCATTTTTCACTTGATTATCTCGAAAGTGAAAAATAACTCAAATCATACTAAACTTTTCATCATAATATTAATATGTGAGATTTACAACAATCTTTATAAAATTGTATACTCAACATATTAAACTAAAACTTGGTCAAATTGCTCATCACTCATATAAGAATTGTTTTCTAAAAATTCCATTTTAAAAACTCAACCATGTACTAAATACTCTTGCATATAAAATCATCTTGACATGTATGCCATATAAATATTTTAACTCGTTCATTTCTCAACATAAAATCATTAAATTTGGCAGTCATGTTCTTAACCCATATATAAGCATGTCGTAAAAATTTCATAACTTTATCATGCGTATATATCGAGTTATTAAAATTTTAAAGTCACAGCTTAAATAAAGAACATAAAATTCAACTTGCATGCTTAACTTCAAAAATTTATAACTCAAGCTATATACTATGCCAAATGACATAATTCTTTCACCTATATACTCAGCACTTACACAAGAAATATCCATAATAAGCTTAACATACCAGGTTATGCCTATCATGCTCAAATTCAAATCAAAACAGTACATATATAACATGTGATTGTGCTGGAAACAACTTATCATTTTTTTTTTTCATGCTTAAAATTTCTTTAAAAATTGAATATATATATATGGCATGAAAATACATCAATATTCACTTACTATAACATATGATAAAAATGTAGCATCTAACCTTCTTCAAGAAATTTGAAAATGAAACTTCGGAAGTTGATCTCAACTTATCTTCGTCAAGATTTCTCTCTATTTTTCTTCCTCACTTTATAGCGAAGACTTTGCTTATTTTTGTGTGAATTTCTAGTCTATGGTGATACCCCTTTATATAGGGTAGCAAAGGAGACAATATTACCTTCTTCACATCAATACTCCATCATAATAAACTCATTAGGGCCCTTGCCATTAATGTTTTTCTAAAATCATGCACAAAGTTGAGTAAGCTTTGAAAAGTACTTGTAATGCATGATTCATCTTGTATATATCAAGACAAACTCCTATATTTGACCAATCCTCTATTATGGCTCGAATTTAGTCTTAAATGGCTCATTTATTGCTTAAAAATACTAAAAAAAATGGTTATAAAAATAAATAAAGATAAAGAATAAAAATCATAACTTGTAAACTTCTCCAATCTATAGTCAATGCTTAGAAAGGGCCATCTTGTGATCCTAATCTAGTTTCCATGATAAAATTCGTGACTTAATGAAAAATCTCCAATTTACAGAACCGAATTCTGACTTAAAACGAACGGTTACCGAAAAATCGAAAATTCAGCAAATTTCAGATTTCCATCTTTTGCTTTTGGCCCCTTTTTTTTTTTTTTCCTTTTT